GCACCATACCTACCCTGAAGCATGGGGGTGGAAACATCATGCTTTGGGGCTGTTTTTCTGCAAAGGGACCAGGACGACTGATCCGTGTAAAGGAAAGAATGAATGGGGCCATGTATCGTGTATAGAAAACCTTTGGAGGGAGTTGAAAGTCCGTGTTGCCCAGCGACAGGCCCAAAACATCACTGCTCTAGAGGAGATCTGCATGGAGGAATGGGCCAAAATACCAGCAACAGTGTGTGAAAACCTTGTGAAGACTTACAGAAAATGTTTGACCTCTGTCATTTCCAACAAAGGGTATATAACAAAGTATTGAGAAGAACTTTTGGTATTGACCAAAGACTTATTTTCCACCATAATTTGCAAATAAATTCTTTAAAAATCAGACTGTGATTTTCTGGATTTGTTTTTCTCATTCTGTGTCTCATAGTTGAAGTATACCTATGATGTAAATTACAGGCCTCTCTCATCTTTTTAAGTGGGAGAACTTGCACAATTGGTGGCTGACTAAATACTTTTTTGCCCCACTGTATAATGTTGGTTTGCCATATGGATTTACTGGAATAATGATGTGCGCAGCACACTTGTACGTGTACTACAATGCTCTTATTGGCATTTTTTTTCTTAAGCGACATGGTTATAGCCAGGGTGCTGGTTCCACAGGAGAGGAGTTTGATAGCTGAAGGCTCTGACTCCCATTCTACTTATGTCAACTGTAGGAACCACAAGTAAACCTGCACCCTGACCAAGTTATCTGTTGGGATAATAAGGCACTATGAGGTCTTTAAGTAGTAATGGCAGCGGCGCGAACGAATACAGCGGCCCCTCTCTCCCAGTTGTGTACCTAAAAATGTGTGCGCTAATGTGTGTTTGTGTTTGTCATATTAGTGTCATATGTTCTGATGCGCGTAGTTCAACATCTATGTTGTGCTCAAGATACAGTTGCCACTGTCTTATTGATATAGGGGAATAAGTTAAAACATTCAACTTGGACCAGGAAGTCACAGAGGAACTTTGAGACCTGGGGCTTCTTCGCCAAACTCCTACCTCACTGGACATGCTGGCTACACCACCCATTGAGAGAAGGCGTCGGAAGTAGTGTGAACAAAAGCAGAAGCGGGGCAAACAGGGAAGCATTCAGGTTAGGCTAGCAGCTAGCCTACACAGACGCGATACCATCCTTCATTATGGCCAATGTATGCTCACTGTACAATAAAATAGACCACATACAGCTCCTGAGATCTGCGCAGTGTAAAGTGAGGGGCCGCTGTGTTCATTTTTTACGGAGACATGGCTAAATGACAACACCCCAGACTTTGCTATCCAGCTAGCTGGGCTAACATGCCAGGAAGCCGACCGAGTCCTTGTGGAAGGGGGAAAGACTTGTGGAGTAGGAGTTTGGGTTTACATCAGTGATGCTTGGTGTCTGGACACTGCTGTTGTTCATAAACACTGCTCTCCGTTGGTGGAGTTTATTATCATTAAGTGTCAGCCTTTCTATCTATTGAGGGAGCACTCAGTAATTCTGTTGATGGCTGTGTACATCCCTCCCACCTCTAACACCAGCGATAGGAGTGAGGTACTAAATGAACTCTACCAGGCTGTTAGTGAACAACAGACAGCGCACCCAGACGGATTCCTCATCACAGCAGGGGACTTCAGTCATGCAGCCTTAAAGGTTTTACTACCCAATCTGCACCAACATGTGGACTTTCCACTGAGAGGCAATGTAGTGGTTAAAAACAGACAAGGTACCAGTCCAGAGGTAATATGTAGTAGAATAGTATGTAGTTCATATATAGATATTATTTGTAATAGTTATTTAAGGGTGAGCTAAGTGTTTATGCAAGCTTGATCTGTTTCTCTTCTCT